GTTCTGTTGGGGGGGGCTCCCCGCGGGCGGCTCGGGCCGCGGCAGACGTTATACCCAACCCTTTGACCGGCAGGCTGACGGTTGTTTACCCTCCTTGCCCCCGCCTCGGGGAAAAAAAAACACCACACCACCACGCAAAATGAAGTAAAAAAAGAAAGCTATTATTTACAAGTGTACACACGGATTCCAGGACCGCTGGAAAACGTAACGCGGTGAATAAAAAGCAGGGAAGGAAGTCCCAAGGCTCTCCCACTCCAGAGAAGACTTTGTCATTGTGCTTCTCGCCCACGGCCCTCCTGGCGCTCGAGAATCACCGCAAAGAGCAATTCTGACGACTGGCCCCTGACCGCTGCTGAAGACAAGGCATCGCCATGGAAACTGCTGCCTGCACTTCATGCATGCTCCCGGGGACGGCAGCGACAACAACTGTATTTATTTCCACAAGTGCTTTCTCGCAAGCAGGGATTAAGGGAGGCTCTCAACCCGGCCTCCAGCTCCAAGCCCGACAAATCCGATGGCAAGCGAGGTGTTAGGCTCTGCACTGCAGCGAGCCCCCAGGCAGCAGCGCTAGGGGAGGGCCACCACCATGACCTACTCCGAAATAAGGGCCAGGGGAGGCAAGATAAACACCCGCCGTGCGTTTACTTCCACAAGAAACTGCCCCCCCCCAGAGTTGCAGGGGGTCCTGAGGATTTTGCACTGCAGGTTGGTGTCTCGACCTCTTGCAGGAGCGAGCCGGACGGGACGCAGCAAGCAGCTTCCTGCTCAGACAGGGCTAGGAGAAGCCGAACTTTACGAGCGCCACAGCATGTCAGCGACGCCGCGAACTGGAGGGCACGAAATAACTACTCAAGCTTAACAGAAGCCCTTTGGGAGCACTGGGAAGGACACAGGGAGGACCTGACATCAGCCCACGGGCAAAAAAAAGCCCACAGTACTCAGTAACTTTAGGGTATAGTTGCTCTCTGGAAGAACTCGAACGCAACTGAAACTGCAACTGAGCTCTGGAATGGACTGACCTGAAGAAAAACCTGAGATTTAGGACACCTGAAGACTAGCGAACCGCCCTCAGAGGACAAAGCATTTGGCATAAAACAATTAAGCATAGAGTTTCTACGGTTTGTTAGAAGACAAATAAACGGACCAGAAACCAGTGTCTGCAGCACCTTGGGGGGTTTCCTCCACGCCCAGCCGCGGGGCGGCTCCAAGGAGCACCGCTGCACTTCTCCGTGCTCGGCCCCTCTGGCTGACAGGAAAATGCTCTTTCGGCAGCCCTCCTCTAGATTCTGCCTCGCCTCTCGGAAGACGGTCCGTTGGGATGCCGAACGCCGAGGACAGGGCTCGGTCCAGGCAGTAGGTGAACCTCCGTAGCATCAGCTCAGGAGCGCTGCTTGCACGGTTCTTCTCCTTGTCTACATGTCCTCAACGCTCCACTTGTACGCAAGCTCCTGAACCGCCTTCTTGTTGGCCATCCTGGCAAAGCGCTGCTGCTCGAATCCATTGGACCTACAAAGCCGTAACGAGAAGACCGTGGGCTGCTGCGCGGGAGCTTTTCTGAAGCAATGAGACTTTTTAGAGATGTGACAGTTCTCCCCCTCCTCTTACTCTGCCTCAGTCTCCACCTCTGTTACCAACAGTTAGCCCCTCTGAAGCAAGTTACCTCACCCGCATCCTGAGGAAGAGGGGGCCTCTCCCTGCCTGCTGCTGGGTGGCCGCGCTGCAGAAGCTATTCACACCCTTGCCGACAGCACCAGCCTCGCTGCCTTCTGGCCCGGACAAGCAGGTATTCCCCAGCCACACGTAATTTAACACATTCAACCTTGCTATCGCTAACAGTCTCCTTCATCTGGTAAGCGGGAACCTTTACACTGTGAGGTCTTTGAAGCAAAAGCTCGTTATTTATTCTTACTACTATTCCACCCCCCATGACTGTATCAGGAACACGTACCTGTCCACACCATCCCAGCGATGCCCGGGCCATATATTAAATCTGTTGAGCGGAGGTGCTGGTCCCTTGTACCTAGGTTTTTCTAGAAACAGAAAGAGCAACACAGTCGTTTACTACTGGCACGCAATCATGCGGTCACGTCGTCACCAGCCCAAGGGGTACATATACAGGCGTGGTGCACGGGCTGCTCAACTACAGCCGCAGAGGAAACTTCCGAAGATACGCTTAATCGAACTGGAGGCTGCTGAATTTTACGCCGCCGGAGCCCGCTCTCCAAGCTACAAATAGCAGGGCCCCTTACCGGTAACAAGGCAACCACAGCTTGTCACACTGCTCCTGCCCTGGCTCCAGAGCAGCAGCCCTCCAGGAGCAAGCTGCCTGGGCAGTCTCAGGCCGTTTGCTGAACAGCGGCCGCATTTCTGCGCTGCTGGGGCCAAAACCGTACACCCGTGTGACTCAACATCCAAACCTTTCTTTTCTTTGTTCTCCTTGGCCTTTCTTTTTTTGATGAATTCAGCCATGGGGTCTCCTTCTCTCTCTTGTTCCCTCAGCATTCGATCCAGATCCTGGTCATCAATATAACGGGCCAACGGCTTCTGCATCTCTTTTATCGCATCTTCCACGTTCTGCTGCTGTTGCCTCCCCTGCGCCAGCCTGAAAACAAACACAAAGCTTCACTCCACGCCCAGGCAATCCCTTACCGTGTCCTGCTCGCTTTGCAGGACCGATCTCAGTCCTGAGCTCCCACCGTAGGTGCAGCGTTCCCAACGCACACCCAGCCACCGAGGGATTAATCGAGGGGGTCTCCGAGACATGTGGAGCACGCGCTCTCCTGGTCCCAGGCTAACTCGGAACGCAGTGACGGGCCACCGCCACCACCACTGGAAGCGGTATCAGAACTGGGCTAAGGAGCAGGGAGCGGAGAGTCCCAGGCTGTACCAGGAGGCGCAGAGACCGCGCTCGGGAGCGCAGGAGAACCTTACCCTTTACCCCACTTGGCGTATTGCTCGTCTCTCTCCGACTTCGCTTCATCTTTCTGCCTCTGCTCCAGCCGCTCCTGCGCGAGGTCCCGCTTGCGGCCCGACTTGTCTCGGAAGACGGTCTCAGAGTGTCGTGACTCCTCTGGAGGGGGCAGACGCCTCAGGTCAGGCGTTTTGGAACATTTCGCCGTCTCCAGACAATTCAATGACTAACTGCGACTCATTTCAGCATTTTTTCCTTTTACTTGTTCTAGCCGCTGAAAGAGCTTATCGTCCAAAAGCAGGGAGGATCACAGCTCTTGCTTAGCTGCTGCCCCACACAGCCACGCTCGCACCCTGAGCTCTTTGACCACCAGCCTGCTTCCTCAGACTTGCAGATGGGGCAGACAGAGGAAAAGCCTCTCACCCTCCCTGTGAATTCACTGGCCTGGCTTTGAAATCACCGTTTACGCCATCTTTTATTTCAGAGGCTCAGTGACCCCACCCACGGAATCCATCGGCGTGTCTAGATGCTGCTCCACAGGGATGCTCTCCATCAGGACCCGAACACCAGGGCCTGACAGAGCATCAAGAGACAGCTGAAAGCAGAGAAAGCGAGCTGGTGCTCGTGCAGTGTTTTTACACCCCTACCTTCCAAGTGCTTGTTATTTCTCTCATGCCTCCTGAGCTCCTGCTGTTCCCTCCGCAGCACGTCAGCCGACACCAAACCAGCCTTGACCCCCGATAACATCATGTTTGCCTGCAAATCAAACAAAACCAGAAAAATCACATTTACTGCTGGCCAAGAGGTATCCCGCGATCCAGAGGCATAACAAGGGGACAGCCCAAAATCAAGAGAGACGTGTCAGCAGCCCACCATGGTACAAAGCCACCGTGCTGGCATCCTCACAAACAACTGCCCCAGCCCTCCAGAAACAGAGCTCTGAGGCAGAGCTCCTCTCTCACGCCTCCCTCATGCCTCTTCTTATTGCAAGCAGAGGGCCTGGCTCGGCTGCATCCATGAGGTATATGAAGTTTCTACTCCACAGTTCGTAAGTCGTTGGATTTTTACAGTTTTCTACCACCCAAGAAGTAACCTACACCTTAAATGGAAAGACACAGCCCTTACCTTCTTGGGAGATCCCTTAGCGTCACGGTGGCGATGAGGTGAGACGTCAGGGGGACTCCCTGAACCGCGCTGATCCTTTCCAGATGGTTGCGTCCGTCGTGGAGGAGACAAATCAGAGTCTGAAGATTTGCTGTGATTCTGTTTGAGAGGGCCACGCTTAGGGGAGTTGCTGCGTACACGGCCTAGCCTGTGGTCTGCATCCGAGGCGTCCCGGGTACCCCTCCGTGGAGATGGAGGGTCAGAGTCGTGCCTTGGGTGCCGCTGAGGCGAGGGCACCGGCCTAAGCTTTTTCGTGGCTGGAGAAGCACCTGCAGTAAAGACATAAGCTAACTAAAAATCACAGAAGTCAACGGAATTCGTCCCGCAAAAGGACTAAACACAGCAGTGCACGAGGTTAATCCCTAGGAAAATCAAGGCCTTAAGAGACAACAAGCTGTACGGAAAAGACAAGTATGCGACAAGAGTCTGCGAATTCTCTTCCTCTGAACACGTACCTGCAGACAGGGTTTAAACTGCATTTTCCTTTCAGATGTGTTTACGCCTTAGCCAGATAACCCTTAGGTTAATTCTAGTCCAGCTGATGAAACAACAGGATTACAAGAACTAGCTGCACCAAGAGCCACGACAACCTATCCACCACCATTCCGCGACTGTGGACTGCTAATTCCACGCCACTCACCTCTCAGGAGCGCGCAAACACCGTCACCAAGGGGGCAGCCAGCAAAGCACAGGACAGGCAGAACAGGCTCGCACACACACTCACCTTTTGCTCTGCTCTTTTTCAGACTAGGTGACCCAGTCCTCTTTCTCCGAGGCGGTGACGAATCTGGGTCAGAATCGTACCTCTTCTTCCGTGGAGGGGACAGATCTGGCGTAGCCTGACGCTTCGGACGTGACGAGGACTTGTCAGAGACGCCGTGCCTGAGCTGCGACTGCTCCCCTTGGGCTCCCCCTGAGCGTGACTTGTCTGTGGTTTTGCAGCCCTTTTTCCCCATTGCTGAACTGACTCTCTTTGGAGAGACGTTAGGGGAGTCGTGGCGCTGTCGCCTGGGGGGTGACAAGTCTGGGGAGTCGTGGCGCTGTCGCCTGGGGGGTGACAGGTCTGGGGAGTCGTGGCGCTGTCGCCTGGGGGGTGACAGGTCTGGGGAGTCGTGGCGCTTCCGTCTTGCAGAACAGAGGTCTGGGGAGCCATTCTGCTTCCTTTTGGGTGGTGACAGGTCTGGGGAGTCGTGACGCTTCCTTCTTGGTGGGGAGAGGTCAGGGGAGCCATTCGGCTTCCTTCTGGGTGGTGACAGGTCAGGGGAGTCGTGGCGCTTCCTTCTTGGCGGGGAGAGGTCAGGGGAGTCGTGGCGCTGTCGCCTGGGAGGCAAGAGGCTGGGGGAATTGTTTCTCTCTCGCCTGGGAGGGGACGGATCCGGGGAGTCATGGCGCTGTCGCCCTGGAGGCGACCTGTCCGGGGTGTCGTGCCGCAGCCTCCTGGGTGGCGAGCTGTCCAGAGAGTCATGTCGCTGTCTCCTGGGAGGGGAGGAGAAGGTGAATATAAGAGTTAGATTTTTGGTTTGTTTTGCCATCTCCAGACTGGAAACAAAACCCAAGTGGGACCTGTAAAGCAGTAGGAGCCAAGGACAAAAACACCTTTCTGAACGCGAATTCATACTTGATTCTGCCCCTCCCTGTAGTCACCTGCATCCCTGAGCTGCAGACTTCCCAAAGTAGATCCCAGAAACCCTCCGAGGCAATCGGGGTCACAGGAAAGCTGTAATTTTGAAGTCTCCAGGGACCCTTGCGACACTCACACATCAAGACCCATTTTGTGCCCTTGTACAATCGTCTTCTCACAAGGAAAGGCCCCACCACGCTCTCCTAGAGAGCCTGGACGCTGTGCGACCCTGGAAAATCCCACAGATGCTTTCGGAGAAGAGGCACGTTGTGCCACCACCACCCTCACCGCATTCCAGATCTGCAGCGAGCTATCACCCGGGTTTCTGACCCTGTCAGAGGACTGTGGGACGGCTGTTCGCACATCATGCAGACACCTAGACAGCACACTGGCTGCCGGTTCCCCCCGCAAGAAGATGTTATTTGACAGTGGAAAAGGAATCCCTGTGTATGCCGCTTCTCACACGTCACAGCAGAGCACTTGGAAATGGCAGAACAAGACAGCCGATACTAGAAAACAAGAGCTAACAGAGGGAAGAATTGCCAGCCGGAGCCCCCTACCTCACGGTAGATTTGGCAGGTACTGAAACATCTGAGCTTTGTGAGTCTTCGTTCTGGTCTAAAGAAAAACAATCAGAAAGTCAGCATCAGTAGGGTTCTCCACAGCATTTCAAGGTTTGTATTTTTTTTTTAAAGCTAGCATTGTTTTTAACTTGCAAGGTCGTTGTTTGGAGCAGTGAAATATTCAGGGAGAGAGGGTGGAAGGGGCTGGTCTCACCTCCTAAAAGTTTCCATTTAGCATTTGTTCGGAATTCCTCCATGAGCTTCACTTCATCTGGACGCTCGTCGATAAACTCTGCCACCTGAAGGTAAAACACCCGAGTAAACACCACGCCTTTAAAGAAAGGACGGACGGATTTCTGCCCTCTAACACGAGTCACTAAGCACGACTGCACTGACGGGCAACCGCTGCCTGGCCATCGTTTAGCTGCAGACAGATCCCAAAACAACTTCCCTAACCCTTCGCCTTCAAGGTTTATCTCTTTGACGCCCAGATTTCCAGCCG